AGCTCTGTGTGTGTGTGTGTGTGTGTGTGTGTGTGTGTGTGTGTGTGTGTGTGTGTTTGATCAGTACTATATTGTTGTTGTGTTCAGACACAGTGTAGAGCCGCACTCATCTGTATCTGCAGCATCAGAATGATTTATTATTGGTGTGGCAGTCAAATGTACACATCACATTAATTTAAACAGTCACTGAACATTAGAATAGTTAATAGAGCTGAAAAGTCAGAAACAAGCATTAGAAACTTAGACGAGAGGCAGGTGTTCATGGGTTTATGTGACGGACCAGGCTCTGGTGACTGAAAGGATTGAGAGACGTGGTGATGAAGAGAGAGAACAGGGTCTAACTTCATGTTAGCGGAGGGATACTGGCTGAATTGAGGCCTGAGAGGCATTATGGGTAAACAGTGGCGGTGTGTTGGGCTCCAGCAGTATATAGTTAATCAGCCGGCCTCGGCGCTGCGACACATGAGTTATGCATCTGTCCGAATCGTGTCTCCTCCACTCCCAGCAGAGCCTGACCTTCCTCCGGCTCATAAATAACCCAGCGCTCATAAAATACTGATTTAAAGAAGCGCTGTAGTGAACCACGACGGGCCGCAGTGCATCCTCAGACAGACGTCACTCGAGGGACAGCATTTCTGACTCTCAGGCTGCCTCTGAAGGCGTATTTCATTAATATTTCCCCCAGAATGCTCAGTTTCATCTGTTATAGTCAGAGAAATGAACCGAGTGCTGCATCACAGACGTGAATGTGGCTGAAATGCATCTGGCTTTTTGACATCCTTCAGAATCACTGTTTGATTCACACGCATCCTCATGCAGCGTCAAAATGTACATAGCCGGTCAAAAGTTTGGAAACATTACGATTTTATAATGATTTCTTCTAAAGTTTCTTCTGCTCACCAAGACTGCATTTATTTGATCAAAAATACAGTAAAAACAATTATTATTGGTGCTCTGTTATTAATGTTTCATATTATTATCAATGCTAAAAACAGTTTATGCTCAATAGTTTGGTGAATATTTTTTTATGATTCTTAGGTGAAAAAGAACAGTATTTATTTGAAATATAAATATTTTGTAACATTATAAATGTATTTACTGTCACTTTTGATCAGTTTAATGCATATTTGCTAAATAAAAGCATTAATTTCTATTAATAAATCACACACCATACTAATTTTAATGGTAGTGTATGATAGTTTCCACACAAATCTTGGGCAGCACAACTGTTTTCAACATTGATAATAATCAGAAATGTTTCTTGAGCAGCAAATCAGCATATTATACTGATTTCTGAAGATCATGTGACACTGAAGACTGGAGTAATGATGCTGAAAATACAGCTGCGCATCACAGAAATACATTACAGTTTAACAGAGATTCACATAGAAAACAGCTGTTTTACATTATAATAATATTTCACTGTTTTTACTGTACTGTATTTTTGATCAAATAATTGCAGCCTTGGTGAGCAGAACAGACTACACTAAAACATTAAAAACTCATAATATTTGGAGACTTTTGACTAGTACTGTAAATCTCATTGGACAGCTCGCGCTCCTCGTACACTCTGATTGGCCGCTTTTTGTGTCGAGTTTGACTGTATTTTCATGTTCGGTGAAACGCTCTGGATTTCTGTGTGATCCGCAGGCGTTCAGAGGGAATTACGGCCCGTGTTTAATGATTTAACCAATGCAAGCTTCCCTATTCCCACATAACGGCTGTCTTCATCCACTAATTAACCGTGATAAATTCTCCTGCAAGGTCCTTAATGCTTCCAACAATGAATCAAACATGATCATACGTTTAGTCAAGATGCCATTAATTATAAACCGACCCAATTTTTTGTGGATTCACTGATATTCTTACCTTATGCTCAAATGAGCGTGGAACTGTGGGTAAAAATATTATCTGTGTACTGATATAAAATCCTTTTACCGTTCTGCTGGTGAGACACACACATGATTCAGATGCAAACAGCAGAATATGTGCAACCTCAAATCCAGTGCTTCTGACGATCAGCTGAGAGGTCGATAAGTTTCATAACATAATGCTTGTAGATCACTGTCAGTGAGGGTGAGGGTTAGGGTTAGCACTGGTTTCCTCCACAGAACTGCATCAGAACAGCAGAAACACTCCTCCTGAAGAAACAAGCTTTCAGTGAGATGTTTAGATCAGCCGCACGCAGGTCAGGATATTTAAACTCATTTGCACAGGTGTGTCCATCTGTCTGATGATCTCACGTCACGTTGAATCTGCATCTCCGCCTCATAAAGATTCCCCACTAAAGCTGACGGCACAGTTAGCGGCGTGAGATGGCTTTAGCTATGGAGAATTCAGGAGATTCTAAAGATTCCAGAAATTACCCATGATCCTCTGCGTGTCACAGATATGTCACACCCTTTCGTCTACCAGCGGCTCAGTGAATCTACAGCAGCTCGCTGTGTTTCACTACATCAGGCCCCTATTATAATCTTGCATATTTTTTTGACAATGTTCGCGGTGACAAAGACTTGTTTTCAGATGTTTTAATTAACAGAAAGTGGGAGTGTCAGTATATTAAATTAATTAAGCACAATTATTTTTTTTTATGATTCCAGGACTTTCAAGAGCTGTTTGTTCCTTTAATAAATCAACAGATGTTTAAGGGAAAAAATAAGTAATTAAGTTTTTTTTTTTTTAAAGCATTTTAATAAAGTTAGATTATTTAAATATAACTTATATTGCGTTGTGGGTCACAGGATAAAACTGATGAAAATTAAAATACGGTTTAAACTAGAAAAAGCTGTTCTTCTGAAAAATCCTTTTAGTTTTTCAGCATTTTTGTGTATTTGAACCCTTTCCAACAATGACTGTATGATTTTGAGATGCATCTTTTCACTCCGAGGACAACTGAGGGACTCAAACACAACTATTACAGAAGGTTCAGACGCTCGCTGATGCTCCAGAAGGAGAAACCATGCATTAAGAGCCAGTTTCAACTTTTTGAATTTGAAGATCAGGGTAAATTTAACTTATTTTGTCTTCTGGGAAACATGTAACTATCTTCTGTAGATTCTGAAGGGCAGTATTAAATGAAAGAAATATGATATTTAGACAAAATAGGAAAAATTTACACATCTCCATTCTGTTCAAAAGTGTTCACCCCCCGGCTCTTATTGCATGGTTTCTCCTTCTGGAGCATCAGCGAGCGTCTGAACCTTCTGTAATAGTTGCATATGAGTCCCTCAGTTGTCCTCAGTGTGAAAAAATGGATCTCAAAATCATACAGTCATTGTTGGAAAGGGTTCAAATACACAAAAATGCCAAAGAATTTGTGGAACCTGAAGGATTTTTCTGAAAAACAGTGGGCGGTTTAACTGTTAAACACGCAGCTGTGGATCATTCAGCTAACAACACAGTATTAAGAATCAACTTTTGAATGGGATCATTTTTATAAATTCAACTGTTATGTTCTCTTGTGGACTATATGTAAACATCTTTCATGTGAAATATCTTATTCAGGTCAGTACTAAATAAACCTTTTGTATGATACCTCTTATTTTGGTAAAATAATTTACATTTTGCAGATTCTGCAAGGTGTATGTAAACTTTTGACCTCAACTGTATTTTGCAATGTCAGGTTCTCAGCTACCCTCTGAGGGGATTCACATTTACATTTACATTTACGCATTTGGCAGATACTTTTATCCGAAGAAATATACACTGCATTAAAAACATACATTTTTATGTGTTCAAGCAGAGTTATTTCACTGGGAATCAAACCCATGATCTCGGCATTGCTAGCGCCATGCTTCACTGCTGGAGCTTCACGAAAACACAATCAATCAATCAATCAATCAAAGAGGCTGTTTATAATATTCTTTTTTTTTTTTTTTTGGAAAAGGACCATTAAAAAATGTTGTTAAATATTACAATTTTAAAAATCATATGTTCTCATGTTTATTTTTGTTGTAATGTGTTAGAAGTATTCATGTTAAAGGTTTACTGTTTTAACTCTTTTTTTTTACAGGGTGTGACTTTTTGGTGCATTGTGTTGAATTTAATTAGACTCCTAACATAAAAATCATACTCAAAACTCAAACATAATAACAAGGGTTAAAGCTTCCTGGTTGTGATCCACTGCTGTAGAGGTTTCACATTCTCCTTTCACTGTTTCTCAGTGTATTTGTATCTGTGGTTTTGTTCACCTGTGTTTTGATGAGAACTGCGTTTAGTCTTACAGGAACAACAGCGTCGTATTATTTCAGCAGGGAATCAAACCGCAGGCTAATTATAAGACTGGAGCTGGGGATCACATGTAGTGGAGGGATGTTAATCTTTAGTTTTCATGCTGTCTGTCTCTTAGTTTCCGTTCACTCTTCTTTGAGTCAGCACTTTCTGTCCTTTCTTCCCTCCATTCTGCATTGTGTTGTTTCTTCTGTTCAGGGAGTTGTTTTCCAATAAATTCAATTGTGGCAGTAAGAGGCGTCCGCTGAGAGCGCCACTCTAACAAAGCTGAAAAATGGCCTGCTGGCTCTCTGCTCTCATTTCTGCTGATCTGAGATGTCCTGAGCCCAAGACAAGCAAAGGAATAATTGCTGAGAATGATGTGAAAACACAGCAGACCCTTTTAACCGAGCGTTTACAGACTCATTTCAGCAATAAAGAACAGGGATTCTGAGACGTCACGATCGTCGTAATGTGAACGCTCTCTCCCGCTGATCACCATGAAAGAGCGAGCATCTGAAGCCTGTTTTTGTGAGGCTTGTTGACGGTGTTGGTTTGGTGTGTTTTTCAGGAACTCCACGTACTGTATGAAAGTGTCGATGTCGCTCACAGTGGCCGAGAACGACACGGGTCTCTGCTTCAACTCCAAGATGAGGTACTTCGAGAAGGCCGAGCTGAGTAAGAGCAAAGACATCCTCTGTCCTGACATCGACGACTACATACAGACCGGAAAAGAGCCAGAGATCACATGGTACAAGGTATGATCACACGCCGCATTCACCGTTGTGCAGACAGATTTAGTTTAGTACTGTAATACTCTTCAGTTTGTTTCCATCTCACCGAAAACACGCTCATGCAGTTTGTGTTAGATTTGGAAATAGAAGCTGTTAGGCAGAAATGGACCGTATATCAGTCCTGATGTCCTGAGGCACAGACGATGAGATGGAAAGTGGCATGAATTAGTCCATTTCTGCCATCCATAAGACAGGTGAAATTGGACTGCGCACTAATTCAGATGAGTGTCAAATTAAACGTATGCCACAGTTTCTGGCTAAATTGAATCAAAGACAGGTCATGGCTGAGGACATAGGTGCAGAAAACATGAGCGGATTGAGTGTGAACTTCTTCATGCCACACAGTTTGATATACGAGTTGAAACTGAAAGATTAAACAAATGCACAGCGTGAGCAGCAAATTACTCATTTGATCCAAAAACGAATCACATTGATATTGGTCTTATATAAACTGAGCTAGTCTAGCAAAGAGGTTTCATTTACAGCACTTTTTCTTCTTATCAAATCTTTTTATTATCTTGTAGTGTTATTTTTTCTCACCATATGAAAGCGGTGCGTTTTAATTAAAATAGTTGAAGTGCATCCAATCTATCATTGACGATTAGAAAACATTTAGTCTTTGAACATTTTTTTTTTTTTTTTGCTGAGTTTAACACTGGTTAATTTTAGCACAGTTTGTGCATCATCTTCTCGTGGTTCGCTGCCTTGACAATTAACTCATCTGCTCATCGACATGGAAATTAATAAGTGCTCAATAAATGATTGACAGGCAGTTTGGTAGGCAATTTACAGATGAAACTCTAGCTGTTGTCAAAACACTGTTAAGCATGAAATCAGTAGTGCTGCAATCTGTCGACAACATCGAAGGCGATATATTAACGCGTCATTCCAATGAAATGCATTAACCGCATTACACAGCCCACGTGTTTATGGATGCAGGAATGCCGGCCGAAGCAGTGGAGACAGAGCATCGTGAGGAAGACAGATGTGCTCTCCATCAGAGACGTGCGGGAAGACGACATCGGGAATTACACCTGCGAATTACAGTTTGGGAGTTTCGTGGTGAGGAGGACCACCGAGCTGTCCGTCACAGGTAAGACAAGCTCTTCTGATGAGGTGTGTCCGGTCCAGATCATTCCTGCAGAGTTAAGCGTCATCTTACAGGTCATACAGTGACTGCTGACAAATATGATGCAGGGCAACAGCTCCATAAATGCAGTTATGCACTATAATTCAAGATATTTGTGTAAGAAATGCCCCTGTATGAGTTTTTGTCTCATATTTATATCATACGATATAAATAAGTAAATACGAGTAAATAAGAAGTTGATATTATGCTATCTTTTAAACACAATATTATGTGCTTTTGCTCAATTTTGCAGAGAACATATTACCTTTAAATCCACAGCAGAATTGTTGTGCGTCCGTGCTACACAGCGGTGTTTAGTTTCTGAATGAATCCGCGTTTTGAACGAATCGTGTGAATCAAAGGCCCATTCATAAGCAGCCATTTACTTAATTCCTGAATGAATCAGCCATTTGAACGAATTAATTAATGACTTATAACGACTTTTACCGCCACCTGCTGGCAGATTTAGTTTCTTATTCAGAGTATCATTTTATAATAATAATAATAATAATAAAAACATTAAAGGGATAGTTCGCCCAAAAAAATAACAATTCTGTCATCATTTACTCACCCTCATGTTGTTTCAAACCTTTCTTTTGTGGAACATAAAAGAAGGTATTTTGAAGGCTGTTTTGGTTACCAATGACTTTCATTGTATGAACAAAAAATACTGAGATGTTTCTCAAATTATCTTCTTTTATGTTCCATAGTTTATGTTAGGCCATTGTAGCCTAAATATTTCTGTTTAATAAATTGTAGGTTGAATCAAATAAAATGTTTCTTTCTAAAGCTACATTTTGTAATGTCTACTTGATACTTTCATAGCAATGTTCATAGCAATCTCACAAAGATACGTTATAATCAATGAAGTTGATTATATGCTGCACAACGAATCTCTTACTTACATTGCATCTACACATTCTTATAATGGGATGATTTGTGCTGAACACAATAACTGAACAAAAACTCCGGCAATTTGAGCGGTGGGTGGATACTAACTTAAACGCCTCTGATTAAAAATAAATCAACAGATAGATATGTCTGTGATTGGCTACATTGCTCAATGCTGCAAAAACGCATTGAAATAGAAACCGATCTCTAGAGCGCAAACCATAGCACACTGGATAGTTTGCCAAATCTGCAATGAAATGCCATTAATACAGCTTTAACTGAGGGTGCTCTAGAACCCCCATAGAACCGGGCCTGGATCTGATCTGTAGTTAGTTGTGATTTTCACGGATCGCGTGTGTTGTGGTCGAGGGCAACCGCCTATGGCCCGCCTATAAACGCTGCCACCACCTTCATTTAGTCTGATATTAAACTGCACAAGAGGTGCTCATGCAAACACAGTAACGAGCATCAGCTTGGCTGTTCTTCAGAAGTCCATGGTCCTGCTGTTTAGGCTTTAGAAAGAGGTTGAGCAAAATTCAGAACTGAAGAATCAGTTCTCTTTCAGTTCATGCGTGTGAATTTGAATTGAATTGGAATGCAGGAATTGGAATTGTTATTCAGAGTAATTCAACACAGGTGATGCATTCTGGGAAATGGAGTGATTTTCCAGCCTGAACCATGAAAGTTCATTTTCAGTGTGTTAAAATACATATAAATTGCAGTTTTGCATTGTGTTTGCTACCTCAATTCAGTTAGAATGCAGACGGGCGAAACTAAAGACTGATGCTCCCTCTTTTGCCGCTCGTCCACTGTGGAGGATCTCTCAGGTCAAGCCTGAAATCAGCTATCGTTTAATTCACGGCCCAGCTGGAAGAAACGCTTTCACGAGTCAGAGCGATGAGAGTCTGTCTGTGATGAGCAGCCTGTGTTCCTGCAGAACACAGACGCACACACACATGCACTCACACACACACACAGGTTTGTTTTTATGGTTTATGGGGACTCTCCATAGGCGTAATGGTTTTTATACTGTACAAACCGTATTTTCTATTGCCCTACACCAACCCTACCCCTAAACCTACCCCTCACAGGAAACTTTCTGCATTTTTAGATTTTCAAAAAAACTCATTCTGAATTATTTATAAGCCTTTTGAATTACGGGGACACTGAAAATATCCTCATAAATCACCTTCTCGTTGTAATACCTATATCATACCCATGTTATTATACAAATTTGTGTCCTCATAAACCACATAAACATGCACACACACACACACACACACACACACACACACACACACACACACACACACACACACACACACACACACACACACACACACACACACACACACACACACACACACACACACACACACACACACACACACACACACACACACACACACACACACACACACACACACACACACACACACACACACACACACACACTCACACACTCACACACACAAAACACAGACGCACACACACACACACACACTCACACAACACAGACGCACACACACACACACACACACACACAAAACACACACACACTCACACACACACAAAACACAGACGCACACACACACGTGCGTCTGTGGAGACACAGACTGGAGTCTTGTATTGTGGCAGACGAACACACTCTTGTCTACAGGAGGTGTGTTTGATCAGGGCTGCTGATGATGTCTCTATAGTGAGTTTGTGTCCAGTGAATCTGGAGCTGCTCAAGTGTTTTATCTGAGCACTGATAGTCTGTCAGTGTGTTTTAGGGTCTGATATAATTGACTTTTACTTTGTTGATTTGTTTGAGTTTCCTAATGAGTGATGTAATTGTGCTCTGATTTGCTTGAGTTGGTCAGTGTTGTTGTGGTATGATGTGTTAGTAGATATTAGAGAAGGCATAAGGTTTCATCTCTTTCTTTCTCCACAAATGTATTAGTTTGGTTGAATTGGATCATTGAAGGTCAGCAGCAAAGACATTGGTTAATAAAATGGGATTAAACACATAAAGGATATCTGTGTTATTTAACATATTTAATTATTGTAGGTTTGCTTCATATTCTGAGTTTGCATTTCACAGTTTTATTGGTTTTGAGGAACACTGAATGTGTTTGTGTGCAGGTGAGATCAGTAAACACATGTTGATATTTAGTCTAGAACTACAGTAAGATCATGTTCACACACAACGCTCTGCACTTACTCCTGATTTCTGTCACCGTGGCAACACCAGAGCTGTCACTCAATACATGGAAACCAGAGCATGTGAGCGTGAGCGGAGTGGTAATATTTCCTTAAGAGCGCAGAGCGCCTTTCTGAAGATTCCGCTCGCTCAATACGCTCAGCGCC